GAACTTTTCGAATAAAAAATACGTGAAACCTAAGCTAGACGGAGGCAAAATTCAAGCAGATGCCAGCCAAAGAAGCGAGAAGTTTCTTTAAAATAACTCAAAAAAGAGGGGATTTTAAGCAAACTGGAGGGAAAAAATTCCACTAAAGCATAAAAATTAACGAGGGAGGAGAGGTAATGGGAGAAAAATACCCAAGCAGGATGATGTAAAAATCGCACCCAGAGAACAAAAGGCACGAAACTTACCCAGAATTTACCAAAAATAGCTAGGGATGCAGGAAATTTTTACCAACCAAAACTGCGCAGAAGCTAGCTGAAGAGGAAAATTCAACCTGAGATTCTGCAATCGTTCACTTAGCAAAAAATCGCGGTTGTCTCAAACAAATGCCGCAAAAGATAAAAAAAAAACAGCCTAAAATTTAGTAAACTTTTGACTATAAAACAACTAAGTCGGAGCAAGAAAAAAATTTCATTGAAACGGTGCCAAGTTACGCAGTACATGGAGGACGTGGGTCAGTTCGCTTCTGCAACTTTACAGTTGGCAAATTTTCCAGCTTCCCAGAACACTGCACCATCTCAGCAACCAGAAAAGCTGGCAGGCTGAAACTTTGGGTGTATGTTCCTACCCCGTGTGTCACCCTCCCGCTTCAAGAAATTCTCCCATACGCGCCTAGACCTCGCGTGCGGGCCCGCAAAAATATGCAAATTTCTTTGGCGGAAGACGTTAATCGCTGACCGCTGGCCAGCAATCTGCTAGCGATGCTAACGTTCGGTTTTGGCTTCTGAAAAGGATTACGAGTTCAGCGGTTGCAGGAGCACCTGATAAACGGCTCCACGACATTCCGGATGTGTGTTGAGCATCTCCTCCCCAACCTGAACGCTGACACCTCTAGATCCCGCGCACGCTAAAAACAAATTTAATGCACAACAGCAGGCATTATATGCAACGGAAAATGATAATATGCATTACATAGGGATGAAAAATGATAATAACCCAGCTACTGGAGCGCATTAGGCTTGCCGGTGTGACCATGCGTTTTTGCACAAAAAAAACTTGAAGTAATGATGAATGGGTTGTTGCTTTACACCATCTACCTTGTGCGCTCACTAACCTAAATCATCGTTTTCG